CTGCTCTAGGAGGATGTAGAACCCCTGACCTCTGTCTAGACAGTGCTGATTGGCTCTGTGCTGATCACATGCACTCTCCCAAGAAAAAAAAAAGGAAACCCGCTGCACCAATACACACTAAACTGAGCATGTGCAGAATGGCAATGGTTCAGTCTGTCTTATCAGGAGATAAAGCCATGGATATTTGAACAAGAGGAGGAGCAGAGTAGTCAGGGTCAAACGGCCTTTTTACACAATGCAGAGGATTAACCCCTTAGGTCCCACAGTGAGTATAACAAGCATGTTTTACTGCATATACAGATTGATTTTACTCTTGTGGGTTTAGCAACACTCTAAAGCTTCACATGCTTAACTTTGGTGCGTTCACACAAAAACAACATGGTGTCAACTGCTTTAATGGCACGTCTTAAATAAGGACAAGTCATATTACAAAACTTGTGTAGCAATTTAAAAATATACATTAATACAATAAAGGACTTTACAAAGTAGAACATTAAAGAGGAGCACACGGCCAAGGCAACAAAGGAGTGGCTCAAGAAGAAGCACATTAAGGTCCTGGAGTGACCTAGCCAGTCTCCAGACCTTAATCCGATTGAAAATCTGTGGGGGGAGCTGAAAGTTCGAAGTTGCCAAACGTCAGCCACCAAACCTTAATGACATGGAGAGGATCTGCCAAGAGGAGTGGGCCAAAATCCCTTCTGAGATGTGTGCAAACTTGGTGGCCAACTACAGGAAACGTGTGACCTCTGTGATTGCCAACAAGGGATTTGCCACCAAGTACTAAGTCATGTTTTGTGAAGGGGATCAAATACTTATTTCCCTCATGAACACGCAAATCAGTGCATCATTTGTTAGACATGCATTCTGCAGTTCTACTTTAAACAAACACCTTGTGTACCTCTTTTTTTTTTTCTTTTCGATCAATTGTAACAAAAGAAAAACAAAGATTACATTTGGCTTTCTTCTACTGTATGGACACTACAGCAACTCCAGCAGATGGATGTCCTTCTTCTATACCCACAAGTCTTTCCCCATCCCCACTAGCCTTTTTCTCGCTATTGCCCCATTCCTTTCTCTCTTCGTGACATTTGAGCCTACAGTTAGGGACTAATCCCACCCAGTCCTGGCATACCTAGAAGGCCGATGATTCCTACTCCTCCATGTGCGGAATTTGCTTTACATCCTGCTTAAAATCTTTATGTATCACGCCGATGTCAAGCCTGTCTATGCATGACTAACCCCTTAGTGACAGAGGGTAAAACAAAACATATCATCCCAACAACTTTGTGTATCCAGGTGGATAAATAGATAAAGGGAAGCCGGCAGCTCGATCTTCTGAAAATAAATTAGTTGATTAATCCAGATGTGGTACAAAATAATACGCGTTTCGGCATACAGCCTTATGCAGGCCACACATGGGTTGAATTCCGAACAAATTTTCTTTAGAAAATCGGAAATTTAGTGCATTTTGTAATACGATGGTGCCACCATTGATTTCGAAATTCAACCAACCGTGCCTTCATTTTCATCTCACGTTGCTACAGAAAAGAATTTTCGTGGGCCAAGAATTTTCTTTTCTTTCCAGGTTACAGCTCATACTAATTTTTTTTTTTTCGTCTATATTTCCCGCACAATTCTCCCATCATTGATTCGAAATTCATTCATTTTTCAAAACATTTCCAACATGCCCGATCACTCAAATTTGATGGTCGCACGAAAATCGGCTGTTTCTGTGACCCACTAATTGTGCGAAATTCGAACCAAAATTCTTAGAAGAGATTTTAGAAAGAAAATTCTTTTGGAATTTGATCCGTGTATGGCCGGCTTTAGTTATAGCCAATGACTAAGGCTACACAACAATACGCGTAAGCCCTGTATTTATTTTGTAGCACACCTGGATTAATAAACTCATTTATTGTGGACAATCGATTTTATCTACTTGTTTGCCCATGTTCTAGGAGGACACTACTAGCCAGTGCACTGATCGCTCACCACCTCGAGGAATTACAACAGGTGTTTTCTACTATATTCAGTTGGATCATACCTTAATTTTTTTTAGGACAAATTAGACTTTCTCTTGATGGTGAATGGTAATGGACATCTCTTGATTTTTTTTTCTTTATCAAAAAAAAAACCCGAATTAGTTTTTTTTTTCTTTTTAATTTAGAAGTATATTTCTTCCTCCTACCACCAAAGAACAACACACAATAAATTCTCCTGCTTCTGATGATCGCAGAGATACCACATACAGTGGGCATAAAAAGTCTACACACCCGTTAAGAAGTCAGGTTTCTGTGATGTAAAAAAATGACAAAGATAAATAATTTCAGAACTTTTTCCACCTTTAATGTGACCTATAAACTGTACAACTCAGTTGAACAACAAACTGAAATCTTTTAGGTGGAGGAAAGTAAAAATAAAAACTAAAATAATATGGTTGCATAAGTGTGCACACCCTTAAACTAATACTTTGTTGAAGCCCCTTTTCATTTGATTCCAGCACTCTGAGTATGAGTCTATCAGCATGGCACATCTTAACGTGGCAATATTTGCCCACTCTTCTTTGCAAAAACACTCCAAATCTGTCAGATTGCGAGGACACATCTCCTGTGCACAGCCCTCTTCAGATCACCCCACAGATTTCCCATCGTATTCAGGTCTGGGCTCTGGCTGGGCCATTCCAAAACTTGAATCTTCTTCTGGTGAAGCCATTCCTTTGTGGATTTGGATGTATGCTTTGGTTCGTTGTCATGCTGAAAGATTTCTAGCAGAAGCCTGAAGGTTGTGTGCCAATATTGACTGGTATTTAGAACGGTTCATAATTCCCTCTACCTTTGACTAAGGCCCCAATTCCAGCTGAAGAAAAACAGCCCCAAAAGCCCCAAAAGCATGTTGTTGCCACCACCATGCTTCACTGTGGGTATGGTGTTCTTTTGGTGATGGGCAGTGTTGTTTTTGAGCCAAACATATCTTTTGGAATTATGGCCAAGAAGTTCAACCTTGGTTTCATCAGAACAGAACACATTTTCCTACAAGCTTTTGGGAGACTTCAGATGTGTTTTTGCAAAATTTAGCCGAGCTTGGATGTTTTTCTTTGTAAGAAAAGGCTTCCATGTTGCCACTCTACCCCATAGCCCAGATATATGAAGAATACGGGAGATTGTTGTCACATGTACCACAGCCAGTACTTGCCAGATTTTCCTGCAGCTCCTTTAATGTTGCTGTAGGCCTCTTGGCAGCCTCCCAGACCAGTTTTCTTCTCATCGTTTCATCAATTCTGGAGGGACGTCCAGTTCTTGGTAATGTCACTGTTGGGCCATATTTTCTCTACTTGATGAGGACCGTCTTCACTGTGTTCCATGGTATATCAAATGCCTTGGAAATTCTTTTGTACCCTTCTCCTGACTGATACCTTTTAACAATGAGATCCCTCTCTGCGGACCATGGCTTTTGCTGTAGGATGCGACAAAGAAATTGTAAGGAAAGACCTACTAGAACAGATAAACTTTATTTGGGGTTAATCAGAGGCACTTTTAATGATGACAGGTGTGTACTGACTCCTATTTAACATGACTTAGAATGTGATTGCTTAATTCTGAACAAAGCTTCATCCCCAGTTATAAGAGGGTGTGCATACTTATGCAACCACATTATTTTAGTTTTTTATGTTTACTTCTCCCCAGTAAAATATTTCAGTTTGTTTTGCAACTGAGTTGTACAGTTTATAGGTCATATTAAAAGGTGGAAAAAGTTCTGAAATGATTTATCTGAGTCTCATTTTTTTACATCACAGAAACCTGACATTTTAACAGGGGTGTGTAGACTTTTTATATCCACTGTATGTGTATGTTAGTTGTTAGTACCCGTAGTACGGCCCAGAAACAATAGTGCGCATTTTGCTTTTTTTTTTATCCTACCCAAAACATACTGACCTTGATACTAATTAAAAAAATATGCTTTTTGTAAAAAAAAAATCCTGCCCAAAATATACTGACCCTGACCTTTGACCCTTACACTAACCTTGGCACTGACCTTGATCTAGCCATTTTTTTCTTTATATATATTTATTTACGCACTTTTATTTGCATCTTTCTCCCTGCAAGGACAGGAGATACAATGCATCTCTCCCTTCATTCAGAAAGAAAACACAGGGGCGGGCTGCAGAATGACTGATCATTGTGATAGCCAATCAGAGGCTATCACAGATATCAGGTGACCCGGAACCAGGAATCCCGGTTCCAGACTGTTAGTATGGGACCTGGGGCTCCTGGTGAGATCCTGGTCTCTGTGCTGGCAGCATGCCACATATAGATACACAGATATGTGGCCCCATGGATAAGGCCCACTTTCATGAGACGTATATGTGTATTGTCAGCAGGAAGGGGCTAAAGAAGAAGGGCCTCATGCCAATGAAGTCCAGTTAACATGGATGAGTAAGCAAAGCAGCATACAACACACAATTCAGACCCACCACCTGACACCACAGCTAACGCATTTCAACCATGACGAAATGCATTAGTGTGGCCTCAGGTTGGAGTACTGTAGTTTCCCCTGTATGCTGATATGTTTGCTCATTAAGGTTAACTGGACATTCAAGATATCATAGGTGTGAGGCCCTTCTTCCTTGAGCTTGAGTGCAGCATGAAACGAGATGGGGTTCCTGGGCATTGGCACTCAGCTGGACCGTAAACCAAAAAGTAAATATGGGGTGTTTTGGAGTGGTGGTGCATGTTGAGATCGTCTGTCTACGCATAATATTTTCTACACCTGGATTGTTTGTCCACCCAATAAATGTTCCAAACGATTCTGCATCTAAAGTCCAGATTTTACAGTGTCCCAGCATTCATCTCAAATCTGCACTTTGTAATCAGCAAAAGTCACAAGGCAGTACTTGAAAAGTCACTTTAGAGGAGGCTGGCGGGCCATTGCGGGAATGATCTGAAAGAAGCTGCTGGTGTATCACTTGTCTTCAGGTAGTTCAGTCCTTGTTAACAGGGTCGTCAAGGTATTTCGGTATCCATGGTATAAATGTTTATTAGTTCAGATATGATGTTGTTGATGGTTGTTCTCGTTATATCCTCACTAAATACCTGCAGTGTAAACAAAAAAAAAAGTTTAGATGCACCAATGTTTTTGAACCTCTCTGGCATATACAAGTCAAAGGCATAGTCCACCTTTTGGAAAACAATAATAATAAAATGCACCCACATTGATGAAACAGAATAATAATAAAAAAAAAAATAACAAAAAAAAAACAAAAAAAAAAAAAACCAATAATAATGTACCCATAGCCATTTTTTGCATTGAAGCCAGCAGAGCACTGCACGTGCAATGCACAGACTCCTACAGACTCATCACCGCACTTGTACCCAGGGTCGGACTGACCATTTGGAAACTTGGGCAGTGCCCGAGGGCCCGGGGTCAGTAGAGGGCCCCATGAGATGCCCCATATACCTTTTTCATAGGCTTTTTTGAGTTTGGGCAAGGACACAGGGGCCCCATGATCCCCTATTGCCCGGGGGCCCCATGAGTTGTCAGTCAGCCCCTGCTTGTACCCCATTTAGTACTACATTACTACCTATCTCAGTATAGACCTGGGCACAGACCCAGGCCCAGGGGTGAAATCACCTTTATGTGTTCCACCGAGATCTGTTGTCTTCCATTTACAAATCCTAGCCCCCCTCCAGCAATCTAAAAAGCCATTTTTTTTTCACGCTTCAGCCTGCCCTTCTTACCTAGCCAATAATGTCACCTGAAGCCTCCTGCTTGCAGAAGGTTTTTTTTACCTTAATGCATAGAATGCAATAGGGTAAAAAAAAAAAAAAAAAAAAAAAAAAAAAAAAAAAACTTTGTACCTTTAGAACCACTTTAAAGATAAAAAAAAAGCGGGGAAAAAAACAAGAAAAACAAAAAAAAAAAAACATGATTCGAGGGGAAGTTAAGCCACGGTTTTACAGAACCCCCCCCCAACCACAGCTTCAACCAGGGGTATTATACATGCTGCAGCTGCAATGCTTTGTATTCACAGCTGTAGTAGGAGTTATACCCCCTCTTGCTGTTTGCAAGTGCTACCACCTATTCAAGTGAGTGGGGCTGTTCTGCAAGCACACTGCAACCACGTGGGGTCCAAGGGGTTAAAGCAAAGGGTGATTTGGTGTTAAGACACCTCCTCACTGCCTGTCAAGCAAACATGGATTGATGTTTGCTTGACAGTACCTTCCACACGTGAATGAGCCCTAGAGTATTATTACCCCGCCTTCTAACTGCTAACAGGATAATAAAAGAGCAGTAACATGCTGATGAGTCCATCACTCTGCTCCCTCCTCCTGCCAGCACATGTACATTCCCCTAGGACTGAACCTTCCCCTCACAGTCTGAGTGCTGCTGTGCAGAGGATGACAGGGGTTTTGGGAACTAATGCCAGTCATAAAAAAACATATAAAAAATAAATGTAATTCGACAACAGCACTACATAGGGTGCATATGCCTAAAAACTGGCTTTAAACAGGCGATGGAAAGAAGATGGTATTGGAAAAAAAAAAAAGAGGGGGGGGGGGGGGGGGGGGGGGGGGGGGGGGGGGGGGGGGGGGGAGACAGGGATTGAATAGTTTTAGAACAGCAGAATTTGCCTTTTTAGGAGTGTCTTTTAGGAGAATTTTGCTGCTTGTTTATAGACAACATCCCAGAATAGCTCTTGTAAAGTTGCCATGGCACAGTAACTATGTTGGTATTTTACACTGAAATTTGCATAATATTCCAGGGCAACTTGAAGCCCAACTCCGGTAAACTTGAAAATTCTCCCTTGCGTCTGCACTGCATAGGGTTAACTGCACCCCCCTCTGTGCTGGTAGACTGGTCCTTGTACTGTCTTCTCCCCTATGCTTTGGCGATCTAAGGTCCTCTGACATTATCAAGACCAATGCAGGGACCATAGTCCTTCACTGGAAACGATAATGCGGGGGGAATAGTCCTCTGCTGGAGATTGGGGGAGAGCCGCCTGCTAGGGGAGCAGAGGAGCAGGTAAGAAAGGCTACGTTCACACTATCCTTGTTAGCAAGCGGCAGACAGGCGTTTGGGAAGCGTTTTTACAGTTTCCCCAATGCCTGGGAAAATTCTGCACATTGCAGCACATGGTGCTGTTCACACGGGAGCATTAGCGTCGAGTCAGGAGGAGTTGAAGCCTCTTATTCAAGTCTATAGTGCCTCTCCGCAAACGCCCAGCCGGCGTTTGCAGTGTGGTTGCGAGGCGTTTGCGGAGCGTTAACACCTTTCAAACGTCATTATAGGCGTTTGTGGGGCGTTTTTAACGCTTGGCAAACGCCTAGCAACCACCGCTAAACCGCGCACGCGGCGTTTGCGGAGCATTGAAAACCACTCCGCAAACGCTGGACCAACGCTTGTCAAACGCTATAGGGGCGTTTGGCAAGAGTTGGAAAAACAGTCAAGTGTGAACGAGCCCTAAAAGTGCTTTTAATTCCCCCTTAGATTACACAAGCTATCAGCCATCTGTGTTCCATCAGCTGTAGCAGAGGAGACATCTAGGATCTAATAGACTCTGAGGGGTTTGTTTACTAAAGCTGGAGAGTGCAAAATCAGACTCACTTCTGCATAGAAACCAATCAGCTTCCAGGTTTCATTGCCAAAGCTTCATTGAACAAGCTGGAGGTTAGAAGCTGATTGGTTTCTATGCAGAATGGAGTCTAATTTTGGACTCTCCAGCTTTAGTAAATAAACCCCCAAATGTCTAATAAAGAGTAACTGTCACCTATATGGGTATTGCTCTATCACATAGAGGACTATCAGTCCCCTATTTGACAGTGATAAAAGAAAAAAAAAAAAAAAAAAAGAAGAAGAGAATAACTATAGTAAAATATAAAAAGTTTTAAACATTTAAAGACAAAAAAAAAAAAAAAAAAAAAAACAATTTTAGACACACATGCACGAGAACTATCAGTCCCCTATTTGACACTGATAAAAGTTATGTGTAAGAAAAAAGAAAATAATAAAAATAGTCAACTGTTAAAAAAAAAACAAAAAAAAAACGAACACCAATGGTAAAATATAAAAAAAGTTTTAAACATTTAAAGAAACACATAATAAAAAAAAAAAAAAAAAACATTTTAGAGATCCCCCCCATACCGTTTCATGATTGCACACACGCAAGGCCCCTGCAGGTCATCAGTTTAGTGTAATGCAGAAGTTCTGATGCCAGATGCTTATTATTTTTCTTGGGGGGGGCACAGGCACTTACCTTCCACCACTGGTTCTCGGCACCCTCATTGCCGGGGACGTCCACCCCATAGCACTGGAGAGCAAAGTATAACACTGCTACAGCGATATGCTGGGCCTCGTAGCGCAGACAAATGTCTCCATGATAGCTGTCCCTGAGAAGAGCCCAGGAAGCTGTAGCGATGGGATTGCGCTCCCAGCTGTGCCGATTCATCCAGTTCTTTACCGAAACCAGGTAATGCAGCAAATACTGAAAGCGAAATGATAGGACATTAGTAACCCTCAGCATGATATGCTTCAGTTTCAGGCAGCCTTCACACTGAAGCCATGTGGGAAACGCATAGGAATTGCTGCCGGATCACATAGCCATTGCACCGTGTTCTTGCAATCTGCTGCGGGTGGCAATTAAAAGTTAACGACACTCCAAAAGCAGGTTGCAGAATGCAGTGTGATGGCCTGGATCAGATCGCATGGGTATGAACATCCATGCAATCTGATTCCATTGCAGCAAAAAAAAAAAAAGTGCCTGCACCTTATTCATGTGCATGCAGTGCGATTTTGCGATTTGAGCCATGCAAAATGATGGGCACAGCATAGAGTTGCACACGAATGCAGTGCGATTCCCGTGCGAATCACACGCGATGTGACGCATTGTATCAGTGTGAACCCAGCCTTAAACTACAACTCAGCCCTATATAAATTAGTGTATTATTATTTCAGGTACTTATATAGCGCCGTCAATTTACACAGCGCTTTACATATATATTGTACATTCACATCCATCCCTAACCCTCAAGGGGCGTACAATCTGAGGTCCCTAAACTCACATTCATACATACACATACTAGGGCCAATTTAAACAGGAGCCAATTCTCCTCCCAGCATGTCTTTGGAGTGTGGGAGGAAACTGGAGTACCCAGAGAGAAAACCGACGCAGGCACAGGGAGAACATGCAAACTCCAGGAAAGTGGTGCCGTGGTTGGGATTCGAACCAACAATCCTAGTACTGCCAGGCGGAAGTGCTAACCATTTAGCCACTGTGTTGCTATTATGATTATTATACAGGATTTATATAGCGCCAACAATGTGCGCAGCGCTTTACAACATGAGGGTAGACAGTACAGTTACAATTGAATACAAAAGGAATCAGAGGGCCCTGCACATTAAAGCTTACAATCTAAAGCTCACATATACTTACGGAGGCCACTACTGAAGATTGAATTGCTAGTTAACCTCTTGACACTGACCGCACGCAAATATGCGGCCTCTCCGCGTCTGGACCTTGATGCAGAGCGGCCGCATATTTGCGTGCCATTAGAAAATAAATTTGTGCTGAGAGCGCACGCCCTGAGCGCGCCCAGCACTCACGGAAAGGTCCTGATCTCCCCTTGTAATCAGGACCTTTTCTGATCATGTGACTGCCACGACAGCTAATCACGGCGGTCACGTGACCCTAAAAACTCGCTCGCCTCCTGGCTACTGAAACTCTTAAAGGGCCAGGAGGCGTCGGCGTCATGAGGTTAAAGGAGAAATAGGGCCAAAGCTTTTTTTGGCTGTACTTCTCCTGTAGGTTAAAGGAGTGCAGTTCGTTTTGCACGCCTGTGACCCGTTTTCAGCTGACGTTACTCAGCCAGTCCAGACTCGAGAAAGATCCCGGCTTTATAGTGGGGTTTCACCAAGATGTCTGGGCTAGCAGCTGGATCAGCCTATGAGCAAACTGATGGGAGACTGAGCCAGCCGCTCCACAGCCCAGCGCTCCAGCGTGTGCTGGAGGGGCAGAGCAGAAAGCCGGTGACTGACAGTCACCGGCTCTCTGCTTAGTGAAGACTGAGAACTGAGTGAACAGTGGTCTTTAATCATTCAGTTCCCAGTCTTAGAATTGGCAGGGGACAGATGCAGCATCGATCCGACCTAGGTGAGTATAATATTTTTTTTTTAAAGCCCAAACTTCTGTTAAAAATAAGATCTTTGAATTAAACTGTTAAAGAGCTACTGAACCCTGAAAGTTGTGCCTGAGAAAGGAAGGCTGAAGGCAAAGGACTAGCCACCATTGTTTGGTCTCCATGCAGCTGATCTTTCCCCCATTACTGACGTACCATGCCTTGTTCTACACTAAGTCTCTGGGTGGAGGAGGAATTCTTGGTAGAGGCAGAGCTTTGCTTCCTCGTGTCAGAGGCTCCAGCAAGGAGAACAGTGAGCAGCACAGTACTGACATCACTAGATCGCACTGTACTGAAACTAGCTGAAGAGGCGGCAGTGCCTTAGATGTCACACTGCAGATACACAGCTAATACAGGTTGGATACTCTCTTGTTTGTTCCTCTAACCGTTACTGGAATAAACTCAGATCTGGACATTGTAGCACTGGTGTGGAGCTTTAATTCACATTTTTATATAATTGGGCTTTGTTCACAAGGGTGTAGTGGTAAAACATACATCCATGTGAGGGCTGTGTTGGTGAGTCATCCCATGAAGGCAAATATGGCCCTTCGCACAAGTGTACACTTTAGTGAGCCTGAGTGAACAAAACCTTGCAAGTAAAGGAAACTGAGAAGATCCTCTGGGATGCAGAATTTGCCTGCCCAGGAACCAGATCGCCTACATCAACACCATTATATGATAGCAATAAGAAAACTCACAAGTCCGGCGCTATGTTTCCACTTTTTATAATTGCCTAAGTTTACATGCTCAGGCCTGGCGATTGGCCTCTCAGGTGTCAATCACATTGAGGAAGCAGAATGTATTGCGAAAAGCCTCCATTACCTGGGACAGGCGTAACTAGAACCTTCAGGGCCCCAGTGCTAGAAACCATGAAGCCCCCCTGATGTGAGCCAGGGGCCCTTTACAGAGTTCCCCTTTACATCCGAGTTTACAACTGAATCCATAGAGTTCCTCCTTACATTAGCATCCCACAGTACATCACAGTTCCAGCATTCCCAGTGCCCCCTCATCAGACCCCATCAGAGTTCCCCTTTACGGTGCATCAGACCCCATCAGAGTTCCCCTTTACGGTGCATCAGACCCCATCAGAGTTCCCCTTTACGGTGCATCAGACCCCATCAGAGTTCCCCTTTATGGTGCATCAGACCCCATCAGAGTTTGCCTTTATGGTGCATCAGACCCCATCAGAGTTCCCCTTTACGGTACATCAGCCCCATCAGAGTTCCCCTTTACAGTGCAAGGGGGAACTCTTCGGACCCCGATGCAAAAAGGGGAACTCGGCGGACCCCGACGCAAAAAGGGGAACTCGGCGGACCCCGACGCAAAAAGGGGAACTCTGATGTGTGTGGGGGGAAGCTCTGGTGACCAGAGACTCCCTTAGATCAGGTTTCCCTTTTACACCAGAGTCTGTAGAGTGAATACACTAAGATAAAGGGGTTCACTGATGTAATAGGGGAGTGAGGACACGGATATAAGGGGGACTTTTATATCAGTGTCTCCCCATAACTTAGGGTCTCCACTCCCCCATCAGTGACCCCCCCAGAGAGTGACTTTATTGCCTGGAGCTGTCACACACAGACTTCCTGTAAGTCTTTTGGTCTTCCTCTTCCCCTGCAACCCCACCTTGCAGTGCTTTCAGAGTCACCAAACCAGCAGTTCGAGCCCAGTCCAGCCCAGCGGAAACCAAGCCAAGCTCAGTACTAAATTGGCCGGCTCCTGAACTGAGCATACACAGTATTGAAGCTGGCCAATAAGCAATTGGCTGCTCTTGGCTCGGGCAGAGGGTGGTCAACTGATCAGGTGAATTTGCCTGCAAGAGGGTGGGAATTGGGGGGAATTGTGTAGAGGAGATCTACCCAACCCCCCAGTGGTGGAACACCAGGGCCCAGTCGCAATTGTGTAGTTCCACCATTGACCTGAGAGTTTCAGGTTTTTCTCTGAAGGTATGTCGGTGGATTAGGGCCAGAGGAGAAGCAAATGCTGGCTCATGGTCCTCCTAAAATGTTACTTTGTCTAGTATGAGAAAAGTACAGGTTCATTTTAACCGCTTGCCGCCCTGCCACTGTATATATACGTGTGCAGGGCGGCAGTGGAGCACAAAAGCACGTTTTAAAAACGGGCTCCACGCTCCCGACACTTTTGCGAGTAGGGGGCGCGCACGCTCCCGCCGACCCGCGGGTGACACGATTCGATCCAGGAGGGATCAATCATTAGATTTCAGCCAGTGATTTCTGGCTGAAATCAGATGATCGGTCCCTGTCCTATCCTGTCCTGTGTTGACATTTACACAGGGCAGGATATGATGTCATTCTTCTCTGCCTGGACACATTCCGTTCCAGACAGAGAAGAAGACACAGTAAAAGTGAGTAAAACACTACACATTTACAGTTAGAACACACCTAGGACACATTTAACCCCGATCGCCCCCCCCCCCCCCAGTTAACCTCTTCACTACCCTGTCACCAGTGTCACTGATCAGTGAACCGATTTTTACTGATCACTGTATCAGTGTCGCTGGCGACTTCCGATAGAGTTAGAGCCTCTCCCAGATAGCGCCAGTTTGTCTGCCAGTACACCAGTAATCCCGTTTAACCCCTTGATCGCCACCCCCCCCCCCCAGTTAACCCCTTCACTGCCCTGTCACCAGTGTCACTGATCAGTGAACCAATTTTTTACTGATCACTGTATCAGTGTCGCTGGCGACTTCCGATAGTGTTAGCGCCCCTCCCAGATAGCGCCAGTTTGCCCGCCAGTACACCAGTAATCCCGTTTAACCCCTTGATCGCCCCCAGTTAACCCCTTCACTGCCGTCACCAGTGTCACTGATCAGTGAACCGATTTTTACTGATCACTGTCGCTGGCGACTTCCGATAGTGTTAGCGCCCCTCCCAGATAGCGCCAGATTGCCCGCTAATACACCAATAATCCCGTCTAACCCCTTGATCGCCTACCCCCCTGAGTTGACCCCTTCACTGCCCTGTCACCAGTGTCATTGATCAGTGAACAGATTTTTACTGATCACTGTATCAGTGTCGCTGGCTACTTCCGATAGTGTTAGCGCCCCTCCCAGATAGCGCCAGTTTGCCCGCTAGTGCACCAGAAATCCCATTTAACCCCTTGATCGCCCCCCCCCCCCCCCAGTTAACCCCTTCACTGCCCTGTCACCAGTGTCATTGATTACAGTCAACAGATTTTTACTGATCACTGTATTAGTGTCACTGGTGACTTCCGATAGTGTTAGTGCCCCTCCTAGATAGCGCCAGTTTTCCCGCTAATGCACGGGATTTTTTTTACCAAAAACAAGTAGCAGAACACATTTTGGCTTAAATTTATGACTAACTTTGAGTTTACGATATATTTTTTATAGCTGAAAGTAGAAAATATTGTTTTTTTTTTTCAAAATTTTCGTGTTTTTTTTGATTATAGCGCAAAAAATAAAAAGCGCACAGGTGATCAAGTACCACCAAAAGAAAGCTCTATTTGTGTGAAAAAAAGGACGTAAATATCGTTTGGGTACAGCATTGCATGACCGCGCAATTATCATTTGAATTAATGCAGCGCTGTATAGCAAAAAAAGGCATAAATTACAGTATCTATACCAGCAATGGGCAAACTACGGCCCCGGGCCGTATACGGCCGGGGGACCTTTTAATCTGGCCCGCGGAGCTAGGCTCCCGCTAGGCTCCTCTCACAGTCCGCCCTGAAGACCGGTGTAGCATGAAAATCTGTCTCCTATGAGGATCTGTCCCCCTCGACGTATCTGCGCATGTGCCGGAGATCGCCGATCGGCTGCTAATGCCTGAAACTGGCACATGCGCAGATACGTCGAGGGGGACAGATCCTCATAGAAGACAGATTTTCATGCTACACCCTAACGGCGCGGGAACACGGCGAGAGGAATGCGCGGAGCAAAGGTAAGTGAATTGACACAGGGGGGACTTAATATGGGGGATGAATTACTATATGGGGGATGAATTACTATATGGGGGATGAATTACTATGGGGGATGAATTACTATATGGGGAATGAATTACTATATGGGGGATGAATTACTATAGGGGGGATGAATTACTATAGGGGGGATGAATTACTATATGGGGAATGAATTACTATAGGGGGGATGAATTACTATAGGGGGGATGAATTACTATAGGGGGGGATGAATTACTAGGGGGATGAATTACTGGGGGATGAATTACTATATGGGGGATGAACTACTATATGGGGGATGAATTACTATGGGGGATGAATTACTATATGGGGGATGAATTACTATATGGGGGATGAATTACTATATGGGGGATTAATTACTAATTAACTATATGGGGGATGAATTACTATGGGGGATGAATTACTATGGGGGATGAATTACTATGCTTACTATGGGGGAATATTGCTATACTTACTATGGATGACACATACACATCATTCATCTACTCTTGGTCCGGCCCCCGGTCCAATATATGAACCCATTGCGGCCCTCAAGTCAAAAAGTTTGCCCACCCCTGATCTATACCATAGTTGTAGACGCTATAACTTTCACACAAAGCAATCAATATACACTTATTGGGATTTTTTTTTACCAAAAACATGTATCAGAATACATTTTGGCTTAAATTTATGACTAACTTTGAGTTTACGATATATTTTTTATAGCTGAAAGTAGAAAATATTGTTTTTCAAAATTTTCGTGGTTTTTTTTTTTTTGTTTATAGCGCAAAAAATAAAAAGGGCACAGGTGATAAAATACCACCAAAAGAAAGCTCTATTTGTGTGAAAAAAAGGACGTAAATTTCGTTTAGGTACAGCATTGCATGACCGCGCAATTATCATTTGAATTAGTGCAGCGCCAAACAGCAAAAAAAGGCCTGGTCATTAAGGGGGGTAAATCCTCTGGAGCTCAAGTTGTTAAATACCCAATTAAACTCCATGTTTTTTGCCATCCACAGCGTAACACATTCAGTATGTATGTATTTTCTATTATACAGACAGAATAGATTGCCAATGTATGCCGGGTTCCATGCTGAGAGTGAAGCACGACAGAGATAAACTTCCCTCCATGTGTATCCTTGAACACTTTGTACTCATTTACTTAAATGATGGGTAGTCATAGTATATTGTTACACAAGTCTTGCCAAGTCATGCTTCCATTATGCCGCTGTACAAAGCATGCTGTTCTAAATCACTTACTTTGTGCGGATGGTTAAAGGAGACCCGAAAATGTAGCAGCCTCAGTACCAGCAATTCACACTGCACAATGCTGTCCCGGAGCTCCCAGAACTTGGAGTCTACTTCTAGCGGATCACTCCCTGGGTTCAAATACCTGCTCGAGACACAAAAAAAGAACCATCAAACTGTGATGCGTGTCAGTCTACACAGCTGTACAAAAGGGGGTAATATTTACATTTTTACTAAATTTAGATGTACAGTACTGTGCAAAGGTTTTAGGCAGGTGTGAAGAAAGGCTGTAAATATATATTAAAAATATATAATTGAATTGTTTATATTTATGAAATTTACAAGATTCAAAGTAAACGAACAGAAGAAAAGTCTAAATCAATTCAATATTTGCTGTGAACACCCTATAGCTTTGAACCAAACTGGAACAACCTACTTGCGGAGTTCCTTCAAAAACTGTATGTAAGTCTACCTAGAAAAAGGCAAAGGGTGGTCACACCAAATATTGGTTAGATTTGGATATCTCTTCTGTTCACTTACTTTCTATTTCATTATAATAATAATAACATTTAAAATATATTCAATTGATAAAAATAAACCATTTACACTTCTATTTCTGAAAGCATTCTTCATTTACAGCATTTTTCAACACCTGCCTAAAACGTTAGCATAGCACTGTGCTCATATCTATGTATTGCATATATAGGCCGTGCAATTACTAACAATGAACAGCAACATGGAAATCATGTTTTCCGATAAGTCCCCACAACTTGAAGCAGGACCACGAGAAATACCTCCCCCACCCCCTCTATTGCACCTCAATTTTAAGAAAAAAATGTCACATGCACAGAAGCATCGCTGGTCTTCAGTAAGGCATCTGGGAGGTGGAAGGGACCAGGGGCACATCTACAAATGTATGGCAGAGTTCCACGCCTGCACACACAAAATGCCCCCAACTTCTGTTGGATGGGCAATATAGCGCCTGGCGCCATTTGTTCACATGCCTGGAAATCCACCACAAATGTGCAGATGAGTCACGAATTAACCCTCGGTCTCCTGGGATAGCTGTGACATAGCAATCCCAGGAAACAGAGGGGCATGGCCTAGGCCAGAAACCTGAAATGCTCTCTTACAGCACAGAAAGCCGTTGATAGGTAAAAATTAGAAAGGTTTTAATCTGCATTTGTGAATGAAGGACGGGGGGGTTGGGAACACACCATAGGAAACGGTTTGAGTTTAGTTCCGCTTTAAGACTCAACCTTTCAGGGCCCATGCCTCAAGATGTAGAGAAACCAACTGTGCAGTGAAAGACTTGAAAACCTAATCAGACAAATGGTAGGATCCAAGGATCTTATGGGGGAAAGACGTTCTGTGATCCATAACCAGGCCTTTTCTAGCCACACAGGAGGAATGAGTGGAAACATGCATATGGTGGACTGAAACTTCACCCTTGCAATATGGTTCAGATGGTTGTTTCTAAAATTTAGAGAGGAGAGAAGAAACGTGATGTTGTGGCAGCTGGAGAACAAGTCTGAGGTCTCTCACATCGGATAGTGATCCCATGACAAAAATCTTATGAATGAGAGGCCTCTCCCCTTAAAAGGGTCTAACAGCCGGGAACACCTGGTAGAAAAATGTAGTGTGTCTTACAGGCATATAATCAAAACCAACAAGATCATATTTCTACCCCAAAAGGGCATCGAAGTTTAGATTAAACAATAGGGTGCTCTTTTTCTTCCCAGATGTCTCAGTTCAATGTATAAATTCTGATGTTCCTTTAGAAGGTTAGCCACACTCCCAAGAGTTTCAAAACATTAAAAAGGTTAACAACTCTGCACATCATTCTACGGAACCTTGGGTAGAAGTCTGAATGAGCATCCTAGCTTTGAATGCTTGCAGCTGGGATCATATGAAATGGCTTCAGGACTGATCATGGAACTCCTGTATTAAGATTTCCAGGAGGGTCAGAAAAAGCTGATGAAGTCTTCAAAAAAAACAGAATCAAAACGTGGGAACCACGTTCCCTCTGAGCAGCCTCCAACAAACTTTCTAGTGGATGATACCACCCTCCTTTTCAGCTGGCATAAAATTGCATTATTCTCAGCAGTGTGCAACCCTTCTTTTCAGACTTGTACCATCTGTTACAGGAGTGTGAATGGGCTCCATTCCAGTCTGCACCTGTCCTTCACAGCTTAAAGCGGAGTTCTACCCAAAAGTGGAAGCTCTGATTATCTGCCTCCCCCCCTCAGCTGCCACATTTGGAACCTTTTGGGGGGGGCTCAGTTCACCGTGGCAGCCAGTCCTTTGAGGGCAACCATAATGCTGATGCGGCCCACAATAAAACTGAGTTTGACACCCCTGAGTAGAGCATCTAAAGAAGAATGTGACTATGGTGATCTCCTAATCCACTTAGTCCACTGACATCATGTCTGAGTATGCATAAAGAAGCAACATGCCCACACCAAGTAGTTCTCACCTATGACAAACATTGATGATGTCTCGTGTCCGAAGGTGCTGCTCCTCCACCTTCCCAGCCAGGTAAATGGCAGACATTGCCACCAGATATGGGTCATACTCATCAAGCGTGGTCTCATGGAAAAACTTGTGATAGATTGTGCAAGCCGTAGCTATTGGGATGGACTGCATTCCCAACTTAACACCTATGAAACAAATAATTAGTTCTGTAATATCCATGATTTTTTAGGGAACAACCCATTGACAAATACCTGTGTTATCACTCCCAGACATATTCTGAAAAATGTTAGCTCTTAAGCTTTTCACAATGAGACAGTAGCTTCCCCACTGACCCTAAATAATCATTGAAAATGGCTGTTCCAAGCCAGTGACTTACAAAGTAGTGAGGAAGAGAGAAAGATGACGACATCTCGGTCAGAGGACATTGGGTTTCAACTAAAGCAGCAGCCATCAGCACAAGAGACACTTCACACTGATAGTATGTACTGTGCCTTGTGCGGATTTAAAAAATAAAAAAGTTTGACTAAACCTAGGCTTTAAGATGAATACAGAGCCCAGCATAGGATATGAGGGTGCAGAGGGACAGTCCACTGTCAGATATGTTATCAACTTGACATGAGATGCATCGAGTGCATTAGAATGTAGATAGGGATCAGTGTCTCTGTAGCCATGGGTGTCAAACTGGCAGCCCTCCAGCTGTTATCAAACTACAAGTCCTATGAGGCATTGCAAGACTGACAGATACAAGCAAGACTCCCAAGGCAGAGGCATGATGGGTCCACCAGTTTTACACCCCTACTGTAGATGGAGGAGCCATTCAATCACACTTAATCCCTATGGGGGGATGGTGTTGAGTCTTTTGTACAGTCCCTTTGATGTGGAGATGTGCCTGGGCTGATGGTTCACAGAAAATCACAGCAAAACCTAAAATTTCTGTCTCTGCTTAGCCCACGTTCCAAAGTCTTGAATTTTTCTCTGATCTCTTTTTCTGTGATTTAAAATTTCCCTTCAGCACTATAACACAGCAGTCATTTAGGTCATGGTCTTCTCCCACAGAAAGGTGAGCAGCTAGGAGAACAAATATTTCACCCAAGAAGCTGAATATATACAGTATGTCCTGGCCTGCATTACCCTTTAGTCAGAGGAAGATGGAGACAGAGCAGAGAACACGGACAATGTACGCTGAGCCCACACAAAGCTGGCAGGCTGCATCAAACCAACGAAGGGTTCAAACTAAGCAAGACAAATATGATTATCACTGCTCAGCTTGAAGCTTCATAATCCAGGTGACAAATTGCAGCCTGTACTCAGAGCATACCAGGCAATCTGAGAAATGCCGGATAAGGTCAACGCCCGTGCCACAGCTAAAAATCAGGTGTTCAGAATGAATGAAGATAAACTTAACAGAACAAGGGGGGGGCGACTTCTGTTGACTTACCGTATATACTCGAGTATAAGCCAAGTTTTTCAGCACATTTTTTGTGCTGAAAAACGGCCCCCTCGGCTTATACTCGAGTCAACGTCAAGGGGGGCGCGTACAGGGGTGGGCAGAGGGCTGCTGTCTCTTACCTGGCTCCCACGATGATCCATTCAGGAAGCGCTGCTCCTTCCGTCACTCCGGCCACTCCCTCACTCCTGCCGCTCGGCTCCGCCTCCTCACCGGTGATTGGCCGCCAGAACTGTAGCTCAGGAAAGGTACACAGGCGGCCAATCACGAGCGAGGAGGCGGAGCCAAGCGGAACCGCGAAAATCGAGTGAGGGAAAAGCCGGTAAGTGTGCAGTGCAGAGGTGCTGCTGCAACCACATATGCTGGCTGCAGCAGCACCATATTGCAACAGGGGTCAGCAAGTGTCATTGGTGTCAGTGGGAGGAATAGTGCCGCATCATTGGTGTCACTGATACTAATGATGGGGCATTATTCCTCCCACTGACACCAACGATGGGGCACTATTCCTCCCACTGACACCAACGATGGGGCACTATTCCTCCCACTGACACCAATGATGGGGCACTATTCCTCCCACTGACACCAATGATGGGGCACTATTCCTCCCACTGATACTAATGATGGGGCACTATTCCTCCTCCCATGATACCAATGATGGGGCACTATTCCTCCCTGACACCAACTGACACCAACAATGGGGCACTATTCCTCCCAGTGATACCAATGATGGGGCACTATTCCTCCCACTGACACCAACGATGGGGCACTATTCCTCCCAGTGATACCAATGATGGGGCACTATTCCTCCCACTGATACTAATGATGGGGCACTATTCCTCCCACTGACACCAACGATGGGGCACTATTCCTCCCAGTGATACCAATGATGGGGCACTATTCCTCCCACTGACAACAACGATGGGGCACTATTCCTCCCACTGACACCAACGATGGGGCACTATTCCTCCCACTGATACCAACGATGGGGCACTATTCCTCCCACTGACACCAATGATGGGGCACTATTCCCACTGACACCAATGATGGGGCTCCCACTGACACCAATGATGGGGCACTATTCCTCCCACTGACACCAATGATGGGGCACTATTCCTCCCACTGACACCAATGATGGGGCACTATTCCTCCCACTGACACCAATGATGGGGCACTATTCCTCCCACTGACACCAATGATGGGGCACTATTCCTCCCACTGACACCAATGATGGGGCTTATACTCGAGTCAATAGTTTTTTCCCAGTTTTTTGTGGTAAAATTAGGTACCTCGGCTTATATTCGGGTCGGCTTATACTCGAGTATATACGGTATGTTAAAGATAGCCTGTGAGGGTAGAAATACGGGAGAGGCTATTCCTGGTTTGGTTTGAAATGATGATCCTGGATGGTAATGCCTTTACTAAAGAACCGCAGATTTACAACAAGCAGGCAGTCAGCAAAGGCTAAACTTTCATTTTTGCATGTGTTTTCTATATCAGCAAGTTTGATGGTGAAGCCAGGATCAGGTTAATGGTTCTTGAGTCTCCTTTCAAGTCCATCCATACCTGTCACCCAGAACATTCCTTCTCCAGATCCATCCAAACACATGAATGGAACAGTCTCCCTCAAGGTACATCCATACATACTTGTCACCCAGGATAGTCCCCCTCCAGGTCCATCCATACATACCTGTCACCCAGGACCATCTGCCTCCAGGCCCATCCACATATATCTGTCACCGAGGACCATCTACCTCCAGGCCCATCCATATATACCTGTCATCCAGGACAGGCTCCCTGCAGGTCCATCAATACTTGTTACCAAAAAAATCTCTTTCTTATAAGTCCATCTATACCGGTTAGCAAGAAGAGGCTTTCACCAGGTTCATCTATGTCTGTTGCCCAGACCAGTCTCCATCCAGGTCCATCCATACCTGCTAATCAAAGCAGTTTCCCTCCAGTTCAAATACCCATCACCCAAAGCAACATCCCTTTAGGTGCACACATACTGTCAGGAACCATCGCGATGCATGGGTCTACACATGCGTAGGTGTCTGCCGAGACGTATAGGGGCCAGGGCACTAGGACCCAGGAGCACCCGTCGTCTGGACAGTACTAGGCAGGCACTGGGACCCAGGCTACGCCTGTCAGGTGCAGGGCGGGCTATTTAAACTAGCCCTGCACAGACACTTGTTGCCGAATGGTCTTTGTATCCTGTTACCTGTGTTTGGTGGTTTGGTCTATTGCTGGGAGAGCTGCCGGGGGGTTCCCTTTTTTTAGGGGCACCCTCCGGGTGTTATTCTATCTGGAGGCGAGACACGATTGGGTGTCGAACATGGGGACTCGTGGAATGAGAGATTCACTGCGCTTTACGGTGAAGCCGGAATTTAAGGATGTCGTGGATTTAAGGATGGTCGTGGTGGATTGTTGCTGCTGGATTCTCTAGGCTTGGCGGTAAGGGATATTATGTGTTTGCAGGATTTTCCGCAGCAGAGAATTTACGACATTACTTTTATATCTACCGAGGTGTGTTGGAATACGTATGAGAAGGCCAGAGGAGCTGTGGATTCTGCTGTCATGGGAAAGTTTGAGGTAACACCACTGTTCATGCAAGAAGAAAAGGTAATAACTGTGCATATGTACAACCCCTTTGCGGACTTACATCTGGTGTGGGCATTCTTGCACACCTACTGTGATGAGTTGAGAGGGGGGAGACAGAGTCCTGAACAGATATGGGATTTGGTCTGGAAAGTATCGTTTCATGGGAAGGTTTAAAATGGATCCTGACTGTGTAGGAGGGGTGCGGAGGCCCCCTGCAGTCTTTACCATTGGAGGTGAGAGGGGCTTTCTCTTTTACCCAGGGCAGCCTAGTTACTGCAGGAAATGTCTTGTGTATGGCCATACAAGTGGAGACTGTGAACTGAGACCTAAGTGCAGAGATTTTGCAAGAAAGGGTCATCCCTCGGGAGAGTGCAGAGATAGGAAGCTCTGTGACATTTGTAAAAAAACAGGCCATTTGGCTAAACAGTGTGAGGAATACTTTGCAGCGAAGAGATGGGCTGCGGTGGAGAAGAGACTTACTGGACAACAGGAGAAGGTGGGAGCTAAAGGGCAGTCGAGGCCGGGGAGGAAGGCATGGGAGGTGAAGGATGGTGCGGGACCCGTTGGTAGGGATCCGCCTGTCCAGCCCCCTGTCTTTTCGGCTGATGACACTGCGCCCGCCGAGGTTGCAGCGGAAGTGAACGGAGCCGGGGGTTCCGGTGTAGCCACCGGGTGTGCGGGGGGTGAGCGGGAACGCCGGCTCCGGGAACGCTGTGCCCGAGACGGGGGAGGCCGGCACCGGAGTGGAAGGGGGCGTGCCTAGAGTCTTCGGTGGAGAGGAGGAGGAGCGGCGTCTACTGTTGTCTCCGCCGGGAGAGGAGGATCTGCAGCGGGGGAGAAGGACTTCATGTTAACCAGTGCCTCCGGTCCTGGAGTGTTGGAGGCGCTGATGGGTGGTCTGTCCTCGAGTGACGAGGGGGAGGAATTTGAGGACGTTGACAGTGAAGCTAGCCTGGAATGTGGGCAGCGGCTTGTGGTGTATGTGCCGGGGGCGGAGGCTCTGTCGGCCAGTAAAAGAGCGCGGGTGGAGGTGCAGGAGGCAGGCGGTGGTAGCAGCACTCCCACACCATTGGATGGGGATTCCGAGGCGGAGTCTGCCAGTCTCCTGTGCCGAGGAGACGTCAGAAGAGTCATGGGAGT